ACATTTCTTATTAATTTCCTCTCATTTAAGCTTCAGTGAACATTCAGTTTTATTTACATGTTTTTTTATTGATAATATTGATGGATATAAATCAGTTTTTATTTGATCTTAATGGGCGTGTCATCGTTCTGTATAGGAGTACGTTGCTCGTGCATGGCTGGCTGGCACGGAGGCGTGGAGGTCGTACCCAGCCCACCACCTTACTCGTGCATTCTCCCTAGGAAAGCTTCCGTCTCCCCAAGTTGAAGGATTAAAGCCTCGCCTTGTTTACTTTGCCCAACTTGGCTGGCCACATCAGATTGAATTCAGATTCCTGCAGTGTTCGAGGCCTGGGATATGCATGCTCGCCTCTGAGCTCTTTTATACATCTGCTTGTCGCAGAGAGCTCAATAATACTACCAATGAAAGCATATTCCTGTAATCCTAAATCGTATAAAGCAATCGCCCACATCGTTTCGTATAATGAAGAGGTAAAGCTTTGAGAGAAATAATATATTAATATATATATATATATTATAATATATATATAATTTTTTATATTTATTTTTATATAAAAAAATTTTAATAATATAATTTGTGTGGTTGTGTGTGTTTTGGTGTTGTGTGGGTTGGTTTCGTGGTGTCAAATGAAATGAAATTTAGTAGGTTGCCTAAAAATGCTACTTAGATATTATTTATTATAATGTTTTCCCCCCTTGGTTATCCAACTCGTGGTACACACAAACAATGTTGGGTATATCTGCTGGGTCTGAAATATTCCGGGTGTATTTATTTTTTATATTAATCCAAGTTCTAATTTTGTAAACCCCATTGTACCCACAGGCTAAGGTAAAACTCCCGTGTTGGACTGTGTAGTTTGATTTCGTCTTTTCTTGTAGAGAACTTTGAAGGGGACGTTTGGTAGAAGAAATGTTGTAGTGGTCGTGGGGGTTGGGGCAGCAGAGTAGAATAGAGCAGTAGGGGTATTTGTACGTAGTAGTGACTTTAAACTTCCTCGGGGCCTAAGCGAGAGAAAGTTGGACAACGCTGGTGCTTAAGAGCACAAGTATTGTCGGGTTCACTTAGTAGTATTGCAGAAAGGTGCTTTATTTCGAAAACTGTAACGTGTGCTGGACAGTGAAATGGGAAACACTCTTATGAATGAATATTCTTCTGGAAGTGCTATGATCCTGATGGCTCTTTAAAAGAATTCAGTTATACTCATGCACGAATGTCTTTGCATTTTGGGAGGTAGAAAATGTGTAGTAACCCCAGGTTTTCATGGCTTTCCCCAAAGGGAAACATCTGTAAAGGGAGTTGACCTGATTTCCTTCTTCGTGTTTTTGTGTTCATAGCTCTATGGAGGAGGTTTTCGTTATTTCTTGATTTCCTTACTTTTTGGTGTGTTATCAAGACCCCGTAAGGGAGTTAAGTGATTTTTTTTATTGATATAATTTCCTTGCGAATGTGTTCCATAAATAACGAAAAGAAATTATGGTAAATGTTTTCCCCAGTACCGTGCTAATTTCCGCCTGAAAAGGGGAACTTTAAAAAAGGAAAAGTCGTACACACCGCTCAAGTTGGAAAATTTTTTGGCAGGCAGGACGAGTGGGGGCTATCACTTTGCGTTGTAAGAGTTAAAAGGCTTGTGTTGGTAAAAGTTTTTCTTGTTACATGGACGTGATTTTCAGTTGTTTAAAATTTCTGGTGTGGTTTTATACCTCTAAGTGGGTTTGTTAAGAGGCGCCACACGAGCCTCGGCCCGGTCGTATTTTCCTGAGTTCTTGTAAATATATTGTACCTAATTACTGCCTTTTTTCCTAACGTGATGCACACCGAGTAAATAAGTTTTTGCAATACACAAATCCCGCAATAGGGAAACTTACACGACTTTTCGGTCCCACTGGACCATTGACTGTCAGAGGGAAAAAAACTAGTTAAAATTAAAAGAATTAAAAGAAAGTTGCCTTTTTTCCATGACTTTGTCTTTAATATTTTTGATTAATATTCTTGTCTACTTATATTGCAAAAAAAAATGTGAAAATGATTAACAGAGGTGCGGGTGTGGAAAGGGCACGAGATTTTTGTCCTAGTCATTATTCTTTCCACATGTGAAGAAGGTATATAATCCCAAAGGGATAAATTAAGATGGAAATAAATGGTATAAAATACCGACCAAGGGAAAATTTAAAAAACACATAGCAGTTTTGGGATCCTTTTTTGATACTTTTCGCCCACACGGGGTTTTTTAAGTCATAAACAGATCTTTGTGACTTGAAAAAGCTCACTGGGGGGGCAAAAGAGTCAATAAGGATCACATTATATGCTAGTTTTTATATTTCAATGAAATTAAGATACATGTGCACATCTGGGATTTTTTTGTAGACTTTTTCCCCACCCAGTGGTTTATCAATACAAATTTGTATTGATAAAGCCGCTGGAGGCGAAAGTCTAAAATAAAGTACCCGATTTTTGCACTTTGGCTTAATTTTACTTTCCACGGGGCCCCCGTATCTCGGTTGGTAGCGTACTCAGTCGCACCTGAGGTCCTTGTTAGACCCCCGGTATGGGGAAACAAGGGATTTTTTCCTTTAAAGACCCTGCTGTCCATTTCACCTGCAGTAAAAGGTGTTGCCGATGGTGGGGTGCTTTGGGGGAAAAAATTAGCCCATTGCCCGAAATGTCTGCATTTTTTTTATTCTATATAGTATTTATTCATGCCCCATGGGCTATATAAAATTTTATCACGTACTTGTAGAAAAAAGATTATTATTATTATTACTATATTTTATTATTATTTTATTATTATTATTATTTTTATTTTTATTTTATTTTACTATTTTTATTACTATTATCTGTCTGGAAAGAGAGAGATCAAATCAGTTTAAATTTTAAAAACGTTTCGAGCATCAAAAAAGCACACGGGATATAAATCAAAAGTGAAAACCGAACAGACCCCGTCAGGGGTGCTCAGAGCTCTCCGGCTCGCCCTTCCCCCTCACCCCAAATTTATCCCCCTCCACCCCCCCAACTCTGCCTCCCCTCCGGGGGCGGCCCCTTTCAGCTGTATCGTCAATTTTTATTTCATGAGGCTGGCTCAAGAGAGGATCACACGGGTATTCTATTACTTAGGCGAACAAAACCCCTTTCCCTCCTTTTTCAATTTTACTTTTAATTTAAATGTCTGTTTCGGGGTGTGTACAAAGGAATGTAAGCAAGGGGCAAACCCGTTGCGTGTGCAGAGGGCTGTGGCTGTGCTGCTAAACCAAGAGACAACCCCTTTCCCTGGTGGCCACGGTGGACCCGAAATGTTTCCCCCTGGGCCAAAAGGTGGCCGCTGTGGGCCGAACGGTGGCCGCTGTGGCCCTCTCGAAATGTTACCTCAGTGAAACCAAATTGTGATACGGTGGCCCGACTGAAGCCGTAGGGGTCACGGTGGAGATGCCTCTTAAGACCCCGATTGACGCTGAACGAGGTACAACACAGTAAACCAAAAGGAAAAAAAGTGGACCATGAACTTGTTTGAAAAATTTTATATTTTTAATATATTTTAAAAATATATATATAAATAAATATATATATATATATTATATATATTGCCAATAAACAAGACTTCTTTAGTCTAAGATATCACTAAAAACTAAGTTGTTAAATTAGGGGTTTAAAAAGTCACAGTAGTCCCCGATCCACGTTTAAAATCACAGTGGTCGAGGTCACAGGGTCCAGGCCACAATCACCAGTACAGACCGAGAAACTGTTAAATAACTCTGTTAGCCCAGGTCTTATAATGACCAAATTTACCATAAGTGCATGGGGCTGCCTAAAATAAACACATTTGTGAAATTTTTCTTGAAATATTCCAAACTTCTTTTGTGAGTCAACAGTTTGGCTAAAGTTTTGGGAAGTTTCAAATGGTTCAGAAGAAAACCCTTTTAAGATGACTCGAGCTGCTGGTGGCAGTGTGTTTTGTATTCAGAAAGCTCGTGTATGTTCATTTTTTTTGGAAGGTTTTCTACGTGTGATTATTTCTTTCTGCCTACCTTTAATTCATTCTCCCCTTAGAAACTCCTTCCTTCCCTGTCTCCCTTCCTTCTTTCCTTTCTCCCTTGTTCCCCCCCCTCATTTTCCCCTCTTACTCCCCTCGGATATCCCTCCCTCCATTTCTCTCTCCCTTTCCCCCCTTCCCTCCACCCGGGAGGGGGGAGTGGAGAGTGCGATAGCCTTTTAGCAACGGTGAGAACATTAAACGAAAAAGCCCCCCGGGAAGAGGCGCACCCGGGTTATTTCCAGCCATCACCACTCATTTGTGGCCCCTCATCGCTCTTCTTGAGTGTAAAAAGAAAGGAATGGGAAAAAGGGGGTGGAAATTGGGTTTTATATAGTGTGTTATATATATATAATATATAATTTTTTATATAATATATTATATATTTTATATTTATATTATATTTTTATATTTATTTAATTTTTTATATTTTTAAAAATATATATATATATATATGGTATATATAATAATATATTTAAATTTTTTATTTTATAAAATTAAAATAAATATATATTTTATAATATATATTATAATAATATTATATATTTAATATATATTATATTATGTAAATTTTTAAAAAACACAAGTACAGCTGACATTCTTTCTTTTAACCTAACAGTCCTTCGAGGGGGCGTGCCCTTGATGCTGAGAAAAGCTCTTGGGCCAAAAGATCAAACTTGATTTCCTCCCATACCCAAATCCTGTATTACCCTTACGGATCGAGTGCTTCCCCTATAAAGTATTAAAGTTTTTCTTATAAAGCTCTACGCTTATAAAGTTCCACTTGGCAAGCTCTAACAACATTCACGTTTTCCAAGATACTTTTTGACAGGTGTGCGGAAGAAGAACTTTGGGAAATCATTATGCACTTACAAATTACGAAGGTTGAACTGAGGTTGTATTGGGTTTTTGTTTACAGAGGAGGCGAGCACAGGACGGGGGTGGGTGCACGAGGCACACTGGGGCCCCCTCCCAGGTACAAAGGGTGAGGTGTTGGGCGAGGCCCGGCCTTTTAACACACTGGTGGAACACGCCATTTCACCCTTGTCGGTAAGTTCTCCCTCTTTTTCCTTTTCCTTTTTCTTCGTCGTCGAGTCTTCTTAGGGGTTCCTTTTATTTTCATCTCTTGCCTTTGTTTTCTGTTTTCGTTTCTGGCACTTTCGTCTTTTTTTGTCTTTCGTGCACATCTTTCTTTCTTTTTGTCTTTGAGTCATTTTTGTCTTTCCCCCACCTTTTTTTTCCTCTTTCGCCTTTCTTGTTTTTCTTTTTTTCTTCATCTCGTCTTTTTTCGTCTTTCGTCCCCACTTTTTATCTTCTTCATCGGTTTCTTGATCTTCTTTTGTCTTCTTGGTGACTTCCCTTTGATCTTTTTCTCTCCTTTGGGTTCCCCTTTTTTTCTTTAATACTCGGAGATCTTCATTTTTCCTTTGCTTTTTTTTTATTTTACCTCTTTCCTTTAATATTCTCGTTCAAGTCTAGTTTTTGTCGATTTTTTCGCTTTCCCCCTCTTTATTATCTTTATTTTGCTTGCTTCTCTTCCTTCTCCTTCATTTACAAAATCTTCTCTTTGCCTTCTATGTTCAAACCCCTATCCTCTTTCTATTTTCCTCTCTTCTCTCCCCTTTTCTTCTCTCTCTCTCCTCTCTCTCTCTGTTTCCTTTCTCATCACGGTTTCCCCTGACCCCTGATTTATTGCATATTTCTCCGTTCGTCCTTTTTTCCTTTACTATCTTTCTTCTGTCTACTCTTGCCTATTCATCTTTTCCCCCTTTTTCCCCCTTGGCCCCTCTTCCTCTCAACCCCACTTTTTTTTACGCTCTCCAGTCGGCATTTCCTGGCTTTCATTCTATATTTTCTCATTTTTCATTTCTTATTTTCAGAAGCAAATTGTTTCTCCATTCTCTCTCTCTCTCTCTCTCTCTCTCTCTCTCTCTCTCTCTCTCTCTCTTCTCTCTCTCTCTCTCTCTTCTCCTCTCTCTCTCTCTCTCTCTCTCTCTCTCGCTGCACCATATTATTAGTCATTAAATATAATTTATTTCTTATTTGTATGTCTCCTTATCTTCATCTTTCTTTTCCTTTCTCATCCTTATCCTTATCTCTTTGCTCTCTCCCCACATCCTCATTTCTCTTTGCTCTCTTCCCGTATACTGAACTCTTCCTCTCTTTTCTCCTGTCTCTCTCTGGCACTTCGATACTTTATATAATAGTTATACCAATGGTAATAAATTCAGTATATATTTATATAGTTTACAGTGTAATTACATTGTTTACAATGTACTTACATTGCTCACACTGTAGTTACATTGTAGTTACACTGTAGTTACATTGTAGTTACACTGTAGTTACATTTCCTACACTGCACGACTATAATTCCCAGCAGGATAACAGTACACTGCTGACACACTCTTTTTCATTAATAATAATAAAGAAAGATAATCCCTGCTCTCACTCTGTGTCTCCTCCCTCAGACATTCCACAGGAGAAGCCGGTGGTGCGCGGTGCGCAGGAGAGGTACCACCCGGGGGATGTAGTTCGCATCAACTGCACTTCTGCACCGTCTAAGCCAGCAGCCACACTCACCTGGTACATCAATGGTGAAGTGGTGAGTCATACCCTAACATCAAAAGCCTTAATTTTAAAAGAGTTCTTGCTAATTGACCAGTTTTACCTATTGAACACGACATATATATATATATATGTCGTGCCGAATAAGTAAGGGTTGCTATTTTGGCTTAAATAGCAATGCTCTTCTTGACGAATAGGGCAAGCACATATATATTATAACAAGCTCAATTTAATTTAGATTAATCCAACTAAATATATTTTAGATAAGTTTACAATAATTTAGTAATAAACAAATAAATGAAATATATTTTTTTTCGTTAGATTCAGAATAATTTTTGCGAAATTATTGCATACACAAATTTTCACTTGCCCTATTCGGCAAGAAGTGCGTTGCTACTTTAGCCAAAATCGCAAGTTTACTTATTCGGCACGACCTGGACCTGCCTCGCATGGGTCAGCAGGCCTGCTGCAGCGTTCCTTTTTTCTTATGTTCTTATGTATACTGAATGTAGTGTACTGGAGTTACCTTAGCTGGAATACCTTCACAAGCAGACCTTGGTGAGGTAGGGAAGAGTGGGGAGACAGGTTGGTAGGAAGGGACCAGGGATACCCCTCACAAGCAGACCTTGGTGAGGTAGGGAAGAGTGAGGAGACAGGTTGGGAGGAAGGGACCAGGGATACCCCTCACAAGCAGACCTTGGTGAGGTAGGGAAGAGTGGGGAGACAGGTTGGGAGGAAGGGACCAGGGATACCCCTCACAAGCAGACCTTGGTGAGGTAGGGAAGAGTGAGGAGACAGGTTGGGAGGAAGGGACCAGGGATACCCCTCACAAGCAGACTTTGGTGAGGTAGGGAAGAGTGGGGAGACAGGTTGGGAGGAAGGGACCAGGGATACCCCTCACAAGCAGACCT